TTCCACACATAAGTACTTAACACAAACTTTGTTTCATGCATAAAATTATTAAAAAAAAAATAGTCTAAAATTACCTTCAGGCTGTGTGCATAGGTGTATATGAAACATAAATGAATTTCACTTTTACACTTGGGTACCATCCGCAAAATATGTATATGTAAAAATAAATACATATGGAAATATTCCAAAATCCAAAACAAATGCTGGTCCCAAGCACTTTGGATAAGAGGTCCTCAGCCTGTATCAACAATTTGCCAAGAATATACAAACAACTCTTTTTTGTGTATATATTATAATAGAAGCTATATTCTCTTTAGGATCTTATGAATCCTTCAGTGGTCTCCCTTACACCCACAACTTTCAATGAACTAGTTACACAAAGAAAACACAATGAAGTCTGGATGGTTGATTTCTATTCTCCATGGTGTCATCCCTGTCAAGTTTTAATGCCAGAATGGAAAAGAATGGCCCGGGTAAAGTAAAATAGTTTATTTTAAATCTTAACATTTAGTAAGAATGTTTATTTAACAGAGTTATTTTGACACTGAGATGAATGAATCCACAACTAGATTATTACTTAATAGCAGTTCTGATCATACTACTTGAATGCCAACTCTGTTTCTGTCTGGTACATAGTGGTATAGAATAGTCTACCCTTTTTTTGTGTGTGGCGTCTGGTATACTTTTGACTAAATTGTTGCTAACATCAACCCAAAGATCCCCTTTCATTTTCTATGTAAATTTTTTTACTGCTTTACTTTTAGAGCTTTAAAGATATCATTTCCTCACAGTTTTGCGGGACTTAAAAGTAAGAAAAAAATAGCTTTGAGCATTTGTATTTAGAAAATTTCCTGTGAATAGGCACAGTATTATAAATCATGAAAGGCTAGAAACTAATTAATTTAATTAATTAATGGATTGGAAAATGCAATTAATATTTGACATTTATTTCTAAGATAAAAAATAAACGTAAGAGTTAAAGTAATTTCTAGTATCTTAACATTTAAGGTTATATATTTTTTGCTCTTTTCAATAGTTTCATTAGTTCCTCATTTCTGACCCTATGAATTTTAGAAGTATTTAATTTTTCCCATATAATAAATGAAATAATTTGTTTAATCTGCAATTGTAGTGAGTTCTTAATTACAAAATTAGATTTCAAATTCATTAGTGTAAATGATCTGTTATGTTAAACCCTTACCCATTTTTATTTGATGAAAATCATTGATAATGTAACTATTTAACAGTGACTATTTCTTTATTATAAATCTATATAAAAGCAATTCTAATCACTTTGGTATATTTATCTCTTTTTCTTTTATAGACATTAACTGGGCTGATCAATGTGGGCAGTATAGACTGCCAACAGTATCACTCTTTTTGTGCCCAAGAAAATGTTCGGAGATACCCTGAGATAAGATTTTTTCCCCAAAAATCAAATAAAGCTAACCAGTATCAGTAAGTATTCTCTCAAATTTGAAGATATTATAATCATTTAATTATACAGTTAACATTTAAGTTATCCTAACTAAAGTTAACCCAACAAATATTAGTAGTCCATCATGTTTAAGATAGTATGTTAATGAGCTTCATCTTCAATCAGAAGATGAAAAGAGAGAAATAAACAATCGCACTATTCATCAGTCTTACAGTCTAGTCAAGAAGATAAGAGGAAGAGCCAACATTTATTAAGTACTTACTTGATTTCTGGTACTGTACTAGATACTTTTCTCACGTTCCCTCCACTAGTCCTCACATATACTCTGTGAAGTAGGAATTATTACCCTTCCTACTATCACAGAGACATAAACTCTCAGACCTTAGATAACCTTCCCAAGTCACAGCTGCTAAGATTTGAAGCTGGAGTTTTTAACCCAGGTTTGTCTCAGTGCCCATGCTGTTTCTACAATACCACCTGGTATTTCAGGTCAAAAACTCAAATGTAAGATGGAATATAATGAATATTATTAAAGAAGTAAAAATGAGCCACAGATCTCAAAGGAGGAAAGGATCACAACTGTGAGGAAACATGAAAGGCTACATTTTTGAGGTAGCTTTTGACTTGGGTCTTTAAAAGTGGATGGGAATTTGACGGACAATAACTTGAATAAAGATTCAAAAACTAAAGCCTCAGTCATTGAGTTTTGTAGTTCTCATAGGTCTGCAGATGTCCAACAGGCAGCTGGACATTCCAGTCTTTCTGAAGCACCGAAAGATACCAAGACTAGAGAAAAACACATTTGTGAAGCCATGTAACCAGTGTTTGTAGCTAGGTGTCTCTCAGAAGAGAGATGCTAGATGAAGTGCAATTTTTTGCAATATTTTGATTTTTTTTGTGTAACTTATTTTTTAAATTACTACAAAATTGTTTTCTGAATGTATCCAATAATAGAAAATTCTGTTTACAATGTATGTATTTTTTCTTCTTTCAGTAGTTACAATGGTTGGAATAGAGATGCTTACTCCCTAAGAATCTGGGGTCTAGGGTAAGTAATTAAAATATGTACTATTGTACAAAGCCATCTACCTTTTATGTCAACAGTTTA